TCGGTAATTCCTCCGATTTCTTTTTATTTTAACTTTAATTCTCCACTGTTGTTTACTCTCCTTGGCCATGCTCATACAACCTCCTTTTGAATTTTGCTATGCGTTTCACTTCACGCCTGCTTTTGTGGAATCTGTATATGCATTTGTAGTTGTTCTTTATTTCTATCTTCGCGCTCTGGTCATCATTTCTTGTTTCTTGAATCTGTTTCATGTAACATAATCTGTTCCTGAATTCGAGAGTGTGCTTATTGCTCCTAGTTTTTGCACACTGCCTTGCACGCACTCACTTATTGTTCTAAAAATTTATGATTTTTTTTTATTTTTGAATCTCAGTTGCTTTCTTCATTTCTGAATCATGCTCTTTTTCTGCTTTTCTTGTTGTATTTCTAGATTTTTGCCTTCACTTCCTGTTTCTGTAGTTCCTAGATTTGGGATTTGCTTTAGAACCTTGTTCCTTAGGAAAATCGAAATGAATTCCCCTTAGATCTTCAAAAACCCTTGCACCAGTTCCTATTTATGTTTTAGCCGAGGTTTTTAAACCTATATCAATCATTCTGTTGCCCAACCCTCTCTTACCGAGATAATGGGCATGTTTAGGTGGAGGGTAGACACCCCAGAAAAATTAGAGCATTTTAGGCGGGAGTTCTCTATCCCAGCCGACGTCCATTTGAGGTTAGCTGGGGAGGAGGACTCTATCATACTTGATGGAGACTTCATGCCCTTCTCTATTGTTTCATTTATTGAATGCGGACTTCAGTTTCCTCTAGATACTCTCTTTCGAGAAATCCTTCACTATTACAAACTCAAACCCATGCAGCTTTCCATAAACTCATATAGGGTTATCAATGGCATAATCGAACTAGGACACCGAGAAAATGCTAGGATCACATTAGCTGATATCCAATTCTGCTATGCCATGTATGGCCTCAAGTCTGAAAAAGGCTACATATACTACTTTTAAGCCTAGATCCACCGCCTTCAAACTAATAGTTGACCTTCCAAACTCCAACAAGGGTGCTGGAGATGATTACTGCATCGTCTCAAACAACTGGGAGTTTGCTCCTGATGACGATCTTCATCTCTATCCTCTGCGCTGAGCAGTTTTTAAAGAGGGTGGTGGTAAGACTTAGTCATCTTACTGTAATTCCATTTTGGTTAAGGCTTGCTAACTCATTCATCTCCACCAATGTTTGCTCTTTGTTTTTTTGTAGTTCTTCCTCAGCCAGCCAATGGATTTCGATAATCATACGTCCCCAGTTGAGATCTAAAGAAGCTCTTAGAACTCCCTATGCAAAGGCGCAAGGCCCCTCTTCTGATGAATTACATACCAACATACAAATCGGCTTTGCCCAACGTCCCTCAGAAAAGTCAAACTCTATCATCTACCTCAACCCCTCCAGTCACTTCTTTGCCAAGAGCTGATCAGGCTTCCTCTTCTGATCCAGTTGAGTTGCCGTCAGCTTCTGCCTCCCAACTTATCCCAATATCCCAGCGCCAACGCCGTCATTGTGCCCCAGCAAACATACCAGCAGGAAGAACTCGTAGCCACAAACGTCAAGACTCTGAGGCGTCGGCTTACGATCCAGCAAACCCACCCATTGCATTTCTAACAATTCACTGTGGTACCAAAGTTACCCTTGCTGCAGCCACCGACGATATGAGCCGAAAACCAGTTATGGAAGACCTCCTGGCCAACCTGCCAGGAGTGGTTACTGTCACCTATTCCCTATCAGAGTCCCAGCCCAAGTTTAAAGCAAAAAAGGTGAAGCGTGGCAAGGCAAAAACTAGTGTGACTCAAATTGACACCGAAGACATCGTGCCAATCTTAAGATTGGCAGAGATTGAGAAAAGTGCCTCCAACGCCGAGAAGAGGCCTGCCGAGGCTGAGCCATCTGATGCCCTTCGGTCGAAGAAGCCGAGGTCAAAACCTGTCGCAAGCCCAAGTGCTTTCAAAGCCAATGAGCCTTGGGCCCCTACAATTATGATTGGTGATAAGCTAATGAAGGCCGATGACAGCGCCATCGATAGTATCAAGGTCGGCATCGCTCTCTCCACAGTCGTGTTCCTTCTAACTGATCTCAATCATATGGCCGAGATCAATGAATATGAAAATTTTGCTCTAATAATGCAACATTCCGTCTTGGTAAGTTCCCAACACATGGTATTTTTTGGCTTGTATTTTAAGTTCTTCATATTAACTTGTTTGTTTCTTTCTTTCTAGGCCATCAAGCGTGCCCATTCTTTCGCTACGAAAGTCGAGGCTTTCAAAGAAGAGTTAGTGCACAAAACCAAGGAAATTGCTGGCTCCTTCTCCTCTCTGAACAACGCTGAGGCCAAGATCAAAGTTTTGTTGGATCAGGCCAAGGCAGCCAAACGAGCCCAAGACCAGGCCGAGGAAAAAGCTGAGGCGGCCGAGGCTGTAGGTGAAGTACTAAAATCTGAGATCAAGGATGTCGAGGCCAAGACTACTGAGGTCAAGGAAGAACTCCAAAAAGCACTGGCTACGAAGGAGGCCGAGATCAAGGTGACCGACGAGAAAGCATTCTCACACTACAACAAAAAACACTTTTAGCGACCTGTTTTTTAGTCACCAAAAGTGTAATTTTGGTTGCTGAAAGTATCCGCGACATGAACAAAATTGGTCGCTGAAGCCTTATCACTAAGTGCTTCAGCGACCAAATCAATTTTGGTTGCCTTTATAAATAAATTGGCGACCAAATATTTCCGTCGCCAAAAGACTAAAATTTAGTCGCCATTAATTAACATTTAGTCACTAAAATTAGCCTTCAGCTGGTGACATGTTAAGTTTCAGCGACATATTAATGCGTCGCTAAAAATATCTTTCAGTGACTAAAAGAATTGGTTGTTGAATGTTAAAACTTTTGGCGACCAATCAAGTTTTGGGTTGCTAAAAATTTATGGACACATACTTTCAGCAACATAAATAAAATGTCACCAAAAGTAAATTTACAACTAAAAAAACCTGTCACCAAAAATTCATTATTTATAATTTTTTTTTAACAATTTCCCTGTTCAATACATAATTCATAAACCTATAAACATAAGCAAAATATAATTCAAATTAACACACTTGTGCAAAGCATTCAAAATATAAACTTAATTCAAAAGTAGTACCGTATTAAATATAAACAACATATCAAATCCAAAACATCCAATTTAAGTACAAATCTCTTACAATCCCAAACTTGAAACATGTAATTCCCAAAAACCTTCTAAGCTTGCAAATTCATAACAAAAATCTATAACAAAATATATCCAAAAATTCAAAATGTAATCCTTTGATGCTCCCCGAACTATATTTCATCCATATGCCAATCTATCAAACATATGAAAAAAACTTCAAACATGTAATTCCAAAAAACCTTCCAAGCTTGCAAATTTATAACAAAAACCTATGACAAAACATATCCAAAAATTCAAAATGTAATCCTTTGATGCTCCCCGAACTATATTCCATCCATTGCCAATCTGTCAAACATATGAAAAAAAAAATTATAATGTTAAAATGTTAATAATAAAGGTCCTGGTCTAAAAACATTAGTTTCACATTACAGATGAACAAATTGAGAGCAAATTTTCCTACGGTGAATTACAAAATTTCAAAATACCAAAATCAAAAAGTAACACATGATTTGAGAATTGAGGAAGATAACCAAA